AAAGGTAAAATAAAATTTTTAATTACATTTTTGAAAAGAGAAAGTAAAAAATTAAAATAAAAATAAATTAAATCTCTTCGAATGCCTCTAAATTAAAAAAAATTTAAAATTTAAAATTTAAAAGGAGTATGCAATTCCTTGTCCTTCTACCTACCTCCCTTCCTTCCCCCTCCTTTAATGATTTTTTCTAAACGAGAGAGAGAAGAAACCTCTCCTTCACTCTATTTGTATTTGTGTAGTTTAAAATGCACAGTAATCTTGCAGTCAAAAAATATTTTTGTTTTTATTTATTTGTGTATCTTGACTTTTATATACATAATAACTTTAATTAATACTTTTTATAGCATATAAAATTATAAATGACCATTATAAATTTTTTAGCAAATCAAACTAGTCAACTATTACCATGTACCTAAAAAAGAAGAAAATTTCAAGAGAAAAAAGGAGAGAAATTAGTCCAGACCTTTAGAAGTTCAAATAAAATTTTAGTTCTTAAATTTTTATTTTATTTAATATACTTCCTAAAACAATACAATTTAGGTGACATAAATTATGGTTAGTTATCTTCACTTCAAGGAGATGCCGATTCACTTGTTTAATTGCATATAACAATTATTATAAGGTATCTAATTAAAACAAATTAAAATTTATGGACTCAAACGTTTCAATTATTACTAATATTCTTGCGACTGGGATATTAAAGTTTAGTAACCAAAATATTTCCATTTTTTTTTTTAAACATTGGGAAATTAGGGGATCAGGGGATTACATCACAAGGATTTGAACAAACGTAGCATCTATGGTCTAACATGCACCCTACCAGTGCAGCCACTGCTGTGGGTGCAAGGACCAAAATATTTCAATTAAAGTTTGGGTGGAATGTTGTATGATTTTGGTGTACTTAGATTACTTTTTTTTTTTTTAAGTAAGATAATAGTTATATAAGATGTGATAACTCTTTTTTTTTTTTTTTTAAATCTCCTTTTATCAGACTCAAATTTTTAACTTAACATATGCAATTTCAAAATTTTGACTCTTAATCTGTTAAATCATCTTTTAAGAGTGGTGTACTTGAATTTTTGTTACATACAAGATGGGCTTTGAATATTCCTTATACTCAACTTATAAAAATTCTTGTTTTTATAAAAAGAAAATAACAATTATTACTAAGATTCATATTGTTATATAAAAATAGGAAAAAAGAAAATTAGGATGTTTTAACATTTAATAATAATTACATGATAAAATTAATAAAATTAGGATTTACATTATATTCCACGTATTAAATAGTTGTGATTAAACATTCTAACATTTTTTTTATTAAAACATTCTAATTTTTCCTTTTTCTCATAAAAATATTACATAAAATTACTTGTAAAATTAGTTTATGTTACTTTATGACTAAACCTATTTGATATATATTCGCCTAGATTTTTCATTTTTCTCATAGAACTTTGTAAATTAAATATATATATATATATATTTAAAACTTTGCAATACCAAGCAAATCAACTTCTGAAATACTAAAAAATGAAAAATGAAGAATAATTGGGTTTCATACAAACAATAAAGGTTTAATCCTAAAAATCCTATAACTGTTTGTTTTTGTGAAAACCTATAACTGTTTGTCTTTAAGACTATTAAATAGTCTCTCAATGTATATTTTGTATGTTTTACTCTATACACTTCACATTATTACTATAATTGACCTAAGGTAGACAAAATCCCATCATTAGGGTAACGTGGTCATCTCTAGACTCTGTTACCCTATCCTTGTTGGTGCCATTCTCACATAAATATGACTCTCTTGGATCCATAGAGGTAGAAAAAGGGTGGGATTCTTCATGCTTCTATAGTTCTATGGATCTAAGTGAACAAAATTATGCCAGTGTGATACTTATGAGGATGGGAAATAGAGTGGAGGTAGTCATGTGACTCAAACATTGGGATTTTGTCTCTTTTAGGCTGATTACAGTAATAATATAAAGTTTATGCACTAAAACACACAAAATATGTGCTGAAAGGTTAACTGTCACAAAGATAAACAGTTTAGAGGGCTTCCTCGGGTTTACGCCAACAGGAAAATGCAAAAGAAAGATGCAATTGAGAGAGTGATGTAGAGAGAAGACTATACATTGGCGGTGTGGAGGTTCATGGTAGAAGAGATTCTACCGGTTTCCAGGCTGAAGGAGTCCATATACGGTGGAGCTTGGCCAGTGACAATTTTCGATCTTCAGTTTTTTGCTTCAACTGCTGCAGTTATCCTACACTCTGCTCATCCTCTTGGTAATTTTCTTCTTCTTTTTGTTAGTGTTTTTTCCCTAGAGGGTTAGCGAAATTTATAGCCAAAAAAGTCCACTCTTCTTAGAAGGCTTTACTTCAGTTTTTTTTTTCCCAAGAAAGGTTGTCTCTGGGAAAAAAAAAACCCAGACCAGTTGGAAATGCCGAATTAATTTAATTCTTTCCCTTCGATCTTTCTTTTTTATTTTTTATAAGCTATTCTTCCCTAGTTCATAATAAACTAGGGGATCAAATCAAACCATGAAACGGAATGACTGTAGAATTAGCCTTAATTTGACAACTATGATCTATAACTCTTTTTGCAAGAAAATGGATGAGAGAAGTAGAGAGAGAGAGAGAAGAGGCAGAGGCGGACATCGATCCTGGGACAGACAGACGGTTCTGAACGGGAAGGATGACGGACTTAGTCGTAGCAGATACCAGAGGAATAGGGAATTGGCTGCGTGGGGGAAAGCAAGGAATGATCAAAACCAGGGTCGAATGTGGCAGAGAGATGGGCCTTACAACTGGGGTTTATACAAACAAGCAACCCCTTTTTTCTTTACCAATTGCCCAGACGATTGGAGATATGAAGAAATGTGGAGTACGTTTTTGAAGTTTGGCCGAGTGTATGACATCTATTCTCCAAATCG